TGAGCTGAAAAACTATCGACCGATTAGCAATCTAACTTATCTGTCCAAAATACTAGAAAAAGTAGTTCATTGCCAATTAAATGAATATGCTGATGTCAACAACCTGTTTTCCCCATATCAATCAGGCTATAGAAAATTCCATAGTTGTGAAACTGCAGTTACCAAAATACATAATGATATTCTAATGATGATTGACAACAAATCGAATGTTGTGCTTCTACTCTTAGATCTATCAGCTGCTTTCGACACCATAAACCATAACCTCCTTCTTACGAAACTCAAGAATGCGTATGGTATTACAGAACTAGCACTCAGCTGGTTACAATGTTACCTTAATAATCGCACATTCAAGGTTAAAGTAAAAAAAGCCACATCTTCTGAAGGCTATCTGGATATTGGTGTACCTCAAGGATCCATTTTAGGACCACTACTGTTCATATTGTATACCAGAGATCTTGAAGAAATTGTCACAAAATATGGTTTCTCGATACATTTGTATGCAGATGACACACAGGTGTACTTTACTTTTGATGTTCACAGTTCTAATCCTGATTTAACAGCTGTGAAAAATTGCTTTCTGGAGATAAAGCAATGGATGACAGTTAACTTCCTAAAACTGAATGATGAAAAAACAGAGTTCATTGATATAGGACCATATGTCAGCCCAATCCAGACAATGGATTTAGGAGACCTCTCAATCTGCCCTGTTAGCAAGGCCAAGAACCTGGGATTCCTTTTCGATCACCAAATGAATCTGGACTCTCAAATAAATGCTGTCTCCAAAGTATGTTATTTGAATCAAAGGGACTTAGCAAGAATCGGTTCGAAGCTTTCCCATGACCTAAAAGTTCAGCTAGTTCACTCCAATATCCTCTGTTTCATAGACTACTGCAACTCAGTCTATTATGGACTAACAGAAAAGAATCTTCATAAGCTACAAAAGATACAGAACAATGCTGCTAGATTTATCTTTGGTCTTTACGGAAAAAAGATACGTGAACCTATCATGCCTTACCTCAAAAAGCTCCACTTTCTGCCTGTTCGGTTCAGAATTAAGTTCAAAATATCACTTCTGGTCTTCAAGTGTCTTAATAACATAGCCCCTCAGTACTTACAAGGACACGTCAATCTAAGGGAAGTACGAAGACAAAGTTCCAGACTAGATGATGACTTTTATTTGTTGAAAGTTCCTCCTGCTCCTCATTTCAGACGAACAGATGCTGCATTTATGTTTTGTGGACCAAAAATTTGGAATGAACTACCCTACTCAGTGAGATCATTATCATCTGTAGAATGTTTTAAAAATGCCCTAAAGACGTTTTATTTCCAACTAGCTTTTGATAATATTTCTAATATTTGTCCATAATGTCTGAACTGATATGAAAGTGCATAATTTTGGTAACTTCATACAAATATTTGTTCATAAAATCTGAACTGTTTAAAAAGTCCATAATCTTGCTATTTCAACACTAAGTCTCGCTTGAATGACTTTAATGTACATCGTTGTTGGGTATATTTTAATGTCGAAGCGTGTAATAAATGTTAGAATTTATTTTATTATTATTTATGTCTTGCCCCTATTTTGAAGATCTATAACTCTATTAGAATTCAACATTCTTTCAGAAACGATTGGAAGAATATTGTCAAGAACATAAGAACTCAATTTTAAAAATTTAGATTAATTTGTCAAAGACATTGAAAATGTGACGAAATTAACTTTCCCTGCCCCAACAGTATCAAGATAGTGTGTTAAAATTGGCATAGGATTTATTACAGGTATATTAAAGTATTAATCGATCCAAACTACGAAAAATATATTTTAATCTGATGACGATTACCTAACTCTTATAATAACTGATGTGACAAAGTAAACATGTCTTGCCCCTATTTTGAAGAACTATACCTCTATTAGAATACTATGTAACTTTATCATCAAAAAAATTTCGATAAACTAGTTATTTTGCCAGCAAGGAGCTAACAGAGTTATAATAATTTTTTGTGACGAAATTACCCTATTTTTGACCATGTAGCGGTAGTTTAATTGTGACTCTGTTAACATATTACCACCTGATAATGATTTATGTGACTGGTGCATGGTACTAGCAGTGTTGTTTGATCCATAGTACGTATAATATAAGGGGTTTAAGCTGGTATACCATTAATTGTTCAATTTCACACATGTTCAGATATCATCAAGATTATGTGACAAAGTAAGCTTGGTTGTGCCTTCTGTGTTTTAATTCCTTACGACTATATGATATAATAACAATTCCCAGCACTTCCAGGCCATCAAATAAACTTACACTACTCAGCATTGCTTATCAGGGTGCCCTAAACATTCATCACATATTTTCTTTAATGTGTGACAGAGTAAACCTGAATGCACCATCTAACGAAAAAAGTCGTCAAATATGTAGGTAATGGTCATATGTACCCATCCAATCAACTGGACACTCAAAAATTTGGTCAAAAACGGCAGCAAGGGGTCCATATTTACTCCGTCACATGTTTATAGTGTGACAATGTAACCATTTCCGTGCCGGCCGTATTTAAGCGATATCTTATCACCTGATTAAGATATCGTTATGTGACAAAGTTAGCCTGGAGGAGGAGACGATTATCCTAACCATCAAGGGTTTAAGTAATTTCATAGTGTGACAAAGTCAACTACACTGTGCCTTTTAATAGGGTCACTTATATTTACCAATATCCTCAAACTCAAATGAACGTGTCCATTATATACAGAATAGTATTACAGGTTATATATAATGAATATCATCATTGTCAAAAATAAAAACCAGTCCATGGGACTGAAAAAATTAATTAACTTTCGATTCGAAAGAGTTAAATTCTAAATCATCCATGTTAGATAATTCTACAGTTCTATTTGAGGTTTTTCTAGATCCTCTTATACATAATAAAATCATTTTTCTAATTAAAAAAGATAACTTACACCGATAATAATTAATAATATCGTTGTAATTCTGTTTTTGTTTATATGCAAGTTTATTGCATAGTAGTTTCTCGAACGTCTTAGCCTGCGGTCCCATGCCACCCGTCACTGAGTAGATTAATGGAGCAAATGATCCGTGCTCTACATTTAAAATCCTTTCGTTGTAACATCTGGATTTCTGTTTCTCGGCATTCTCCATGACTTTCTTTGTCGAATGTTGAAGGTAGGAATTAGAATTAGGATTAATTACTTTAACATCGAAAAAAGCCACTTGGCCTGCCCTATAGAAACCACGAGCTTTTATATCCGGTCTCGCCTGGTCACCCGTAAGTGTCGAAGACCTCGTGAACTGCTCTCCTTCTAGTTCTTGAAGCTGAGGTTCAACTTCCACGTCCGAGCAAACCGTCTTCAACAAGCCTGCTAAAAAATCCCTAATTTCGTTGTGTCTGATAATGATGTAGCCACCAAGGTGGCAATTCAGAGAATGGTTCACATCAAAAGTTTTTCCGCATGGACATTGTGATGGTAAACGATCCAGATCTAAGTTGTACCGCAATCTGATAGAATCCCTAAATTCAGATTTATTTAGAACGAATCCATGTTTTCTTAGTGGTAGACATGAGAGCCAATTTGAGCTCCCTGGTTCGCTAATCTGATCCAAAACCCTTGCAGTCTTCTTATCAACCTTTTTAAGTATGTTCTCTTGTTGTTCTTTATATTCAGAAACACGTTGTTTTAATATATCTTGAAGCTCATCTGTCGATTCCGAGAAGGTTGTAGCAAGCGAATTTACCAGTCCCCGGGTTACCAAAAGCGATGCAGCATGCTCTCTTTTTGCCAAATACTCCAACTGTGGCATTCCCATACCTCCGTTCTTTAATGGTAATGACATAAGCTCTCGGTGTATAGGAGATATTGGACAACCAAATATAGTCGGAATTAGCTCGTGGGTGATAATTTTGTCAAGAGAGCCCATATAAGAGCTGATATCTAGTGTCCTCATAAAATATGTAAATTTGTGGCGGACACCGTGTGTGAAACAAGCGTAGGCTGCCTGAGGTTGTGATTTGGCAAAATGTACTAACTTTTTTAGCATATCACTCCACTCAACTACCAGGTTGTTAATGTAGGTATCCTTGAATTCAGGCGTCCCCAGCACAGCTCCTAAATGCCTTTGACCATCTATCCTGATATCTATATTGCAATCTGAAAATATTTCCTGAGCGGAATGTAAATGTTCAGGATTTTTCAGGATTAAGCAAGATTTCTCCTGGTTCACGAAGTAGCCATACTTAAGTCCTTCTACAATGATATCTTTCCACCAGCCTAAAAGTGCGTGAAGAGTACCCACCCCTGTGGCGTCATCTGCTAACCACACTTGTGCCACTTTTTCGTGATCTTCTAATTTCCGTAGTACTGGTAAAGTTGCAATGGCAAAGAGCGACATTGCCAGGTTATCGCCTTGGGTTGTACCCTCCCGACTGGGGATTTCTGTTCCCCCAACAAACGAGATAGGTGGGTTTAAATATGTCGTGTGTCCTTCCTTCCGTTCGTTACCCTGCAACGAAAAAGTTGGGCGCGCGCGAGGATTGCTTGCGGAGATGTGATGTATAGATAGCCTGTGATCTATGAATGCGCGGCGCGACTGTGTTTTAATGTATATGATGCATGTAATGTATAATATTACTATTAGGTAATACGCCCAATTTGTACGTGGCACGCGTAGTGTATTGATGTGTACACGAGTATAGTTTACCTTTGCTGATAATTTCTTGAATTAAAGATACAAGTTAAGTTCTACTTATATACGGCAATTGAACTGAATTTCAAGTGTTTCCCGTATTTGATGCATAATTTATCAATATTATTATCATGAAGATTGAAGTGAGCTGATTGGAGCTTATACTTAAATTTATAGTAAATGTGAAATGGAAATCTAGCGTCCGCCAAAACGAAACAACGGGCGCAATTCTTGTTGAGCTTTACTTTCCTTAAATCAAAGATTGATAAAATAAAAACAGTAAAACCTGAAATTAAACCCCGTCAGTCTATCAGAAGAGTCAATGTCAATGTCGTGTTCATTACAAATGGAGGAATGTAACACGGTTATATGTGACAGTGTTCAGCCTCTAGTTCTCGCTCTTCAAAACAGTGCTGTGTCTCTATCTCACGTCTCTAATGTCGGTACGTTACACCCTGTGAGAGAGTGACTAGATAGATCATTATATTGAGCCAAGAGGATCAGTAACTAGAACACTTATTTGACTTTATATACATTATACACCTTATATAATCAATATATGACATGTTTATAATAACCTAACTATGACAGAGGACAGTACAGGAGCGGCTAAGTACATACCAGCGTTTATAGGAGATGTTAAGGATGTGTGCACTAACGTCAGGTCCCACATTTCTGCTATACATCCTAAACTTGTACTGGCTCACAAACTATCTTCTGTGTCTCAGAGGTAATTAGTATAGTTAATTGACTAATTGACAGTTAGTTGACTAATTGGTTGATCAATTAGTTATACTAGCACCATCATGATCAGATTGAGGTCTTCGTCAGAATTCAAATACAAGATTCGCGGCAATTTACTGCCCTAAACTTTATCTTTTATCAGATTGAAGACAACTGATGAATGCTGTGTTGCGTCCCTACAATCCTTCGTAAACACGTTAACCAAGATAGCACGACACCTTGAGGATAGCTTATCCTTGTTAACTAAATCCTCCAGGTATTTGATAATTAGTTCAAGGGGGCTATATTTATGAGTCGCATTTGAACTTGATTTCTCTTGGAGAATTTCTCTTTACACTCTTAACTTGCGAACAAATTGAAGCAGCAGACTTTAACAAATTATTTGTTATATAGTAGTGTTGAAAGTATTAAAAAAATACTTTTTAATACTTTCAACACTACTATATAACAAATAATTTGAGAACTGAAGAAGACGTAGTTACGTGGAATGATTATTTCTATTCAATAAAGTTTCTAGTTTAAAGTCTGCTGCTTCAATTTGTTCGCAAGTTAAGAGTGTAAAGAGAAATTCTCCAAGAGAAATCAAGTATTTGATAATGTTTCTAATAGCCTTGTTGCAAAGTTTATCGAATATCTCTCGTGCGTGCTCAAAAATTGAATACCCTTTCAATTGCATTGTTTCATACCTAACATTGATAAAATAATAATCGTAAACTATAGCCCCACAATCATGTCAACCTCTTGAATAGTAGGTTAATTAAAAAGATCTGGCTATATCTCGGTGTTTACTGTTTAGTAAGATTCTAATTAATTAACTGTCAGGTTCAGTGCAGAACAAGAGTCTGTCTACAACTCCACTCTCACCACAACTTGTGAGGGGTTCCTGTCTCTTATTAATCGCTCTCAGCCTCTTTCAGATAGGAACTCTTCTCCTGACCCCACCTCTCCTCTTCCTGCTCCTTCTCCTGATCTCACTGACAAGGTTATTAGTTAATTAGTTAATTACTTAATTAGTCAGCTATTCAATTAATTGTCCGTAGTTATTTTTATCCGTACGTCAGTTTACATCTTATGATCGACTAAGCCATTTCTCTGACTTGCTACTCTTCGGGATATGTTGACGTTTTGTCCAATCATACATTTACTAATTACTGTGATATAATTTAAAATTCATCCCTGTTCCCAGTTGAAAATATCTAAAGAGAAGATTGCTAAGTTAGAGCAAAGCAAAGAACACTGGATGCTAGAAGCACAACTTCTAACTATTAAACTCGACAAAGCCCAGAAGGTATGCGTCTCACACACTTTTTTGGGGTTTTTGTCGAAGCTGATTTTACTTTACATATTTTTTAAATTTTAAGATAAGTTTTACTAAAAAGTAAAGAAGTGTTGAAGTAAACGATTTCATCAGAGGTTGCTTGAGAAATTACAGAAACCAGTAAGTTTGTGTAGTATAACCTGTTTTCTGATCTTTACAAGGGGTTAATATCAACATGATACCTCTCTTTGTGTAATCTTTGTAACATTGCGATCAACTGTCTCATTAGTGTCCAATCTTAGTGTCATCGTGTACTTACGTTTCATGAGTTCCTTTAGAGCACTTAGTTCTTATTTTCTGCAGAACCAACTCTATTTTATTATATTTCAGCTGCGACTTATGATTCTTGTAGATCTTATTTGCCAAATCTCAATATTTTACAGATTCGAAGTAGTTTACAATATTTAACTGCTTGATAAAATAATTAACTGATATTCATGTATGAGAATTTCCCTACGTTTCAAACATTATCAAGACTATAGACAAGACTTTAAGACTATAAGACTCAAAATTACAGACTGCTGAAATTATCTTCTGTTTTTAAATTCTTTTACAGTAAAATCTGAAGCAAAAAGACTATTAACCAGGTTACGTTATCGCACCAGAAAATTATCACATTCTTATAATATGTAAACAGAAGAAGAATGTAGTATGATGTTACCTTATTGCTCTCATGTTTCAAATTTGTAGATAAGCACATTATTTGGCCCTCGTAAAATCTTAGATACAATTGAGTATTGTCCAACGGACATTCCAAACAATAACGTTATGTAAATTTCGGATCTTCCTTGTCAGATAAAGTATTTGACTCAACTAACTTGAACCATGTGTAAATAGTTCTTATTAAGTAAATGACACTACCTCCCCCGCCACAGCAACTGAAAGAAGCTGAGAACAACAAAATGACCTCCCCGTCCAGCAATGTCCCTGTGGATACACTACTAGATTTAACTGACAGTTCCAGCTCAGTTAAAACTGTGCTGCCTTGGGATGATTCAGGGCTTAGAGAGGAGGCTATACGGTTACACTACACTAACAGGATCAACGAGCAAATTGAAACGGTATTCTATTTTTGATTATTTAATGAAAATGATCTTTGGACATTTATGAATTTTCGTGTAGTTTCAATGGCCCTTTGACCCTCAACTATTGAACTTGATAATCGACGTAGAAATTTATCAAATTCAGCCTTATTATGAGCTCAGTTCTGTTAAAATAATTCTACTGATAACCTCTCAGTTCTTAATATGATATTTGATAATCTCCCAGATCCAGAAGGCAGAGGGAGAGTGTATCCTCAACAAAAGAGAGTGTATCGGATTGAAGAAGAGATTACACATAGCAGAGAAACAACACAATCAGTTCGCGGTGGACATGTGTAACAACGACAAGGTTAGACAGCAGCTTGAAGAGGAACTGACTCTCACAAAGGACAAGTATGAAGCGCAGATAGCGCTTATGAGCGAGCACTTGTGCGCTATGAACGATAAGCTGGTTAATCTGAACGAGGAGAACCAGACCTTGAAGCTGGATACTCCTAAGCAGGGCAGGAAAAAGTGGTAGTTTGAGAGTAGCACACATTTAGTTCTTTTACGTTAAGTTATACCTTTATTTTTATGAGTTTTCAGTGAGGTTCAGTTTGTTTGCCGTTTTAGAATTCCCACAATATTAATACCCACATGCTCTTGTATATGCCCCTCTAATGCATGAAATAACCTGGTAATCATGCAGAATATATTTATTAGAATCCACCACTGCACTGGTGCAATAATTAGATTGTAGTGTCCCTATAATACACAAGTTAAGCCCAGAGTAAACACTTATTATCATCCAAGCAATATGTTATCAAATGTAAAACTTTTTCGTACGTTTTTTTGTCTGAATTTAAAAATTGATTGGTTTATAGTAATACTTTTTCATTAAATTTAAATTTAAGTCCGTTGGTCCGATTGATTTTCCATACAAGGGATTTTGTACAATTTTCAACGTGATGAATTTAAAGATAACTTTCCATTCTCGTACTCCCTTGACAATTGTTAATTTACGAACTGTTTTTTGTATAACTATATTTTCTGCTATTAACAGTTCATGATTTATAGCTTCTGAATGCGTTATATTTTTAGTTAGCGAGATGTCCCAATTGAATTTGTGTTATACGATTGAATCTAAATTCTGTTCTTAGATAGCTACTCGTATTTCTATAACATAATATTAGGACAAAGTACAACCCCTTGCTAAACCAACACTGTAGAGACGAGAATAAATGTTACACAAGGTTCCCGAAATTAGGGACAGTCCTGAATAGACTTCGCGTTTGTGTATTGCGCAAAGTCTGCATTGTGGTGAAATGATCAGTTTTGGCAGCGTGATCACGTACGGATTTATAGCGCGCAGCACGACAAAGTCAATCAAGTCTGGAGCTGTACCCGGAGATAGTTTGTCATACGTTGTATGACCCGCCGCGCACGAAGTGCGCGGCTCCCCCTGTAGCGTCGAAGACGCTACACTATAGTGAAGCGACCGTGGGGGTCACCACGTGATACAAGAGATAGTCCGCCCTCACGAAATCTCAAATCTGAAATCACTCGCCCAAATTTTAAATACAAGATAGTCTTCTCAATAGATCCTGAGGGCATGAAAGTGATTACCTGAGGATTACCTAGGACCCCAGGCTTTAATGTTGTTAAACAGAATAGAGATTTGGCGGAATGACCGGCTGAGCGCGGCCCAGTAAGAAAGTGACTGCCATCAGTTTATTTTTGAGCGCTGATTATGAATCATATTCTATGACGCAGGCTTTGACACATGTTGCATTTTCCCTTTTCGCCAACCGGCACACATTGAGGGGGCCGCTAGTACGACATACGAGCTCGAAAGGATTGACATCGTCAACTGTCTATTTTAAACTGTTAAAAGGCATAACAGAAACGTCGAAAAACATTTTAACTGCGATAGTGAAGTCCCGGCCGTACGCACGGGTTACACTAATTGTCACCAAGATGCAGTTATGCGCACTTTTTGGCGTATAGTAGTTAGTAATAGCGCGATAAATTTAATTGATTTGTAGTGGTGTAATCATAATTTACATAAAACTAATAATACGCCGCGCACTGTCATTTTGGGGATGTGTAACGACTGAAACGAACCTGTGTTGATCAAGGAGCACATAGTTCATATTCCAAAGGAGCACCTTCTGCTAATTACCCTGACAACCACCAGCCTTTAAATACCCAGCACTAGGCAAAAACGACCTTTCCCTAATACTTTTCATACTGTTTACACTTGCTATCAATTAAAATCTTCCGATTTGCTTGCGATATGCTGTCAGTTAAAAGGATTAAATCAGTTTTCTGCCGCAGGAGGAATCTTGACCGGGTGTACATAATGGAGGATGACCGGAAACCTCGCAACTTTCTCTCACGAACTTTCAAAGCACTCGACTTCAAACCAAAAATGAGGAAGTACAGCCCGGACAAATTTGATCATATTTCTGGTGCTAATTCTTTAGCAAAAATACAAACTGAAAAAGCTGTCCATATCCAAACTAAAGTTTTGTCAAACTTTTCACTTATAGATACCGATGACTCAGATTTTGAAGATGAGTTGGACTTGGAAATAATCGACGTAGAGGTGGAAGTACCTCGCGAAGACAAATTAGGAGATCAGGAGGAACCTGAACCACTGATCATAGCTTTTGAATACCCGGAGGAGGAGATGCCTGTGTGGTTCCATCTAGGATATGGTTGTGACCCACCTAAGGTAGAGTTTTCATGGTTACGGTTTCTTGGTTTTAAGTCTGATCACTTTGTTTAAATTTTCGTGGCTCAACATTTGTTTTATGATTAAAATTGGGTAGGGCGGGTTTACTTGGACAAGAAAACATTTATGACGACCCTTTGGGGTCTGAAGTCGTTTGAGTTCAAGTAAACAGGCTTCAGTTTCACTTACAATTTATTGACAGAGCTTGGGAGTTGGGTCGGTTAAAATTTTAAATTTGCATGCTAGGGGCAGGGCGGGTTTACTTGGACAACAAAACATTTATGACGACCCTTTAGCCTTAGGGTCTGATGTCGTTTGAGTTCAGGTAAACACGTTTCTTTAAAAACGGGTATAGACAATAGAGCAGACTGTTAAATTTTGAAAATTTGGAAATAATTTCGGGAATAGGGGGTACTTACATTTCAGTTCAAGAATAAAAAAGATCCTCGGAGACGAACACATTCATAGATTAATGGTATTGGTATTGGTATAAGCTGCAATCAAGGTGAATATTATTTCAGAGTTTTATCATTTTATTTTTTAAAGAATTATTTTACCATTTTCAGATCTGAATACGCCATGTCTTTGATGTTTGAATTTGTCTTCCTTTATTTAACGAAGGTTGATGGTTGAGGAAACATCAACTAACTGTTTTACAAATTCAGGTAGAAACAGATCACGGACGAAGTAGAGAAAATGACGCACATAGAAGAGTAAGACAAAATAATCGAGAAGACATCGGCCGTACGGCGATTTAGATATTTAGATAAATTATACACTATAACAAATCATTTTAAACCTTTCCTCTTTTACAAATATGACGTCTCTTACTTATCTATACACTATAATATCTGACTATTCAAAGTGAAACAACTAAGAAAACAATAAAAGGGTCCGGGTCGGAGCATGCTAAATCTGAAATCACTCTACAGTCGATCTTCGAGATTTTTTCCCGATCCATGACTCAAAGGTGCCGAAGGCACAAAAGAGTCAAGGACAAGGGTTAGCGATCGAGGTTTTTTTAAAAATATGGTAGCTTTGCGACCGTACCTGCGAGTGTGCGACCGTACCTGCCTGCGAGCACTGTTATCGCCCACGTGACTGGCTTTTACTAATTCGCTCGCCCAAAAATGTCACGTGGCTTTGGTTTTTATGGTTTTGCATCCGTACAAAACGGTTTTACATAAACCCTAATCCCAACCCTAACCATAACCATAACCCCGAAGCTAACCATAACCCTTACCACAACCCTAACCCTAACCCGAGCCCTAAACAATCGAATTCGTATTTTACTAGCCTGTCACGTAACCAAAACGGTTTTTTGCCCATAACTCTCCAGGGAAGCATTTTAACCCTACTATATACGTCATGGGGCACCCCAGCGAACGCCGCGGGCTTCATGCGCCGCTAAAACGTTTAAATTTCATTTTTATAATTCTCCCAAGACTCCTGTTAAGACAAATTGCGAATGTTTAGCTTTAAAACTACTCTGTTCTTAAAACAATTGTTTTAATCATCGAATACTGAAGAGTTCAATTCAATCCAAGGTAAATTGTTGAAATTATGAGTGATCATGAATGAAAAATGAATAATTTACACGTAAAATTTGCCTCAAAATTTGTCTTGAAAAATAACCATAACTCTGGCTATGATTTGAATTTTGAAAATTTAAAATGCCAGTGCCGCGCACAAAAATTTTCCGCGCATTTAAAACGTGTCGATAATGCGCCCAAACCAATGTCGCGTTGGATAATAGTATCCAAGCTGGTTGAATTCACAATTTTCATTTCTTGTTCCAGTTTGTAGCTTTGTGTGGCAGCCATATTGGTTTTATGCGTGCGTATATATTGCGCGCTATCTATATATCTTACCGTTAAATGTACGTTTACAGATTTAATCGAGATCTCTGCGAGGCTTTCATAATTATGTATGATATAGCTTGATATGGTGTTACTTCAAATTGCTGTAATTTCTATTTATATTGACTGAAGTAGAGTACAAAATAAAATTATTTGCTCTCTAATTTTATTTTTTAAGGATGTCGACCTGCAACTGAAATTGAGTGATATTCGACTTTCAATTTAGATTCGCTAGTCAACAAAATGATTGCTCACTCCGAAATAACGACTTTCAAGGAATGGTATGTACCCTATTATTTACAACAAGGCTCCCAGCATTATAGTAAAACATAGACAATAGACAATATTTTAATATAAACTATAATTAATTTTTGACCGGGAACATTCAGCAGTTAACTTTGTCGTATTTTAAAACAAGTAACTCGTGCCCAGTTCGTAGAGAAGATGGATTTGCTGTATTTTAAAACAAGTAACTCGGGCCCAGTTCGTAGAGAAGATGGATTTGCTGTATTTTAAAACAAGTAACTCGGGCCCAGTTCGTAGAGAAGATGGATTTGCTGTATTTTAAAACAAGTAACTCGGGCCCAGTTCGTAGAGAAGATGGATTTGCTGTATTTTAAAACAAGTAACTCGGGCCCAGTTCGTAGAGAAGATGGATTTGCTGTATTTTAAAAGAAGTAACTCGGGCCCAGTTCGTAGAGAAGATGGATTTGCTGTATTTTAAAACAAGTAACTCGGGCCCAGTTCGTAGAGAAGATGGATTTGCTGTATTTTAAAACAAGTAACTCGGGCCCAGTTCGTAGAGAAGATGGATTTGCTGTATTTTAAAACAAGTAACTCTGGCCCAGTTCGTAGAGAAGATGGATTTGCTGTATTTTAAAACAAGTAACTCGGGCCCAGTTCGTAGAGAAGATGGATTTGCTGTATTTTAAAACAAGTAACTCGGGCCCAGTTCGTAGAGAAGATGGATTTGCTGTATTTTAAAACAAGTAACTCTGGCCCAGTTCGTAGAGAAGATGGATTTGCTGTATTTTAAAACAAGTAACTCGGGCCCAGTTCGTAGAGAAGATGGATTTGCTGTATTTTAAAACAAGTAACTCGGGCCCAGTTCGTAGAGAAGATGGATTTGCTGTATTTTAAAACAAGTAACTCGGGCCCAGTTCGTAGAGAAGATGGATTTGCTGTATTTTAAAACAAGTCACTCGGGCCCAGTTCGTAGAGAAGATGGATTTGCTGTATTTTAAAACAAGTAACTCGGGCCCAGTTCGTAGAGAAGATGGATTTGCTGTATTTTAAAACAAGTAACTCGGGCCCAGTTCGTAGAGAAGATGGATTTGCTGTATTTTAAAACAAGTCACTCGGGCCCAGTTCGTAGAGAAGATGGATTTTCTGTATTTTAAAACAAGTAACTCGGGCCCAGTTCGTAGAGAAGATGGATTTGCTGTATTTTAAAACAAGTAACTCGGGCCCAGTTCGTAGAGAAGATGGATTTGCTGTATTTTAAAACAAGTCACTCGGGCCCAGTTCGTAGAGAAGATGGATTTGCTGTCTTTTAAATCAAGTAACTCG